CTGGCCCCTAGATGTGGCCTTCCTACCCTCCAAAACCATGAAAAATAAATTTCCACTCTTTATAAATTACACAGTCTCAGGAATTCCATTATAGCAGCATAAAGTGGATTAAGGCAGCTGGTGCTTTAGTCCAACGTGGAGAATATGGAGTGGGTTCTAAGCAGCAGAGTTGCCTTTATAATTGACCATAAGAGGCACTAGATATACACATACCAAGTCCAAATATGTTTCAAAGTATTCAATTTCTCTCAGGACATAAAAGAACCTGTACTGTAACATCCTGTAACTCAGTGATGTCCCAAATTTTCTGATCAAGGAGATTATGGGGCCACAAAGTAAAGAGATCAATGATGGAGAGTGTGCCTAAGGACAGTCGCCTAGAGAGAAAACATTCTCTCAGGTTTTCACAGAGAGCAAATTCGTAAGGCAATGGCCGTGACTCATCCACATGGCTGACACTGACAAAGGATCTACAAACTGTGGTAAAGGGTTTCAAGAACACCCTGTAGACCCTGCTCTAAAATACAAAATACAAAAACAAATTTACTTTAAACAGTATAGTAATAATTGATATGACATTAGAAGCGGTACACATTTAGAAGAGCAAGATGACAGGTACTCAAGCATGACTTTTGTATTACACATTGCTGTCTTTGATGTGATTGCTTAGATCACAAATATCAGCATACAGAGTTAGTCAAGGTGAAATTTCTACACACGAACTGCTATTTTCCAAAAACTGGTGGAAATTTTTAGTATAACCATCTCAGTCTTCCTGTATATATGCTTGTTTTTCCCCTATCTTTTCTCCTTTCTCTCATTTTTGTTGTTTAATCCTTAAGTTTCCTTTCTTTCCATTTTACTATTTCCACTATATCATTCTGGTTTTATTTATTGCTCTCAGCCAAACCATTCTGCAATGGTTACTTAGGACACAGGGATTTATTTTAAGCATACCCATATTTTCATACTATACTCTAACTCTAAAAATATCAAAGTGTTTAAAATTGTTATCTACCCTCTCTTTCTTGAGCTGGTTATCTGGAAATTGGCTAAATATTTCTTTGTCCTTCTATTGGTGGAATTTTCAAACTTTGAGACCCAGAACTAGGATAAAGTTGCTTTTCCCCAAAGCTAGGAGAAAGTTGCATGGCATGATCAAAAATATGACATTTTAAAAAATGTTTCAGTAAAAGATAACTTTCTTCTGAGTGTGGGTGTGCATACCTGCAACTCCAGCACATGGGAAACTCAGATAGGAAGACTGCTGTGAGTTAGAGGCCAGCCTGGGCTATAAAGTGAGTTCAAAGCCAGTCTGAACTGTGTGGTGAAACCCTGTCTTAAAGAAAGGTACCTTCCCATTAATCCCCCTCCAAATGCTTCTCTTCGCTGCAAACACATTTAGCCCATCGTTCCTGAAGTTTTGGGAAGTAGTTCTGGAGGACTTCCTTCATGTTTTCAGTTGTCCTGTTATGGCTGCCTCAATGTCCTGATTCAGTTCAAAACTTTTACCTTTCATAGTCATTTTTATTTGGGGGAAGAGCCAGAAGTCACATAGTGCCAGAATCAATGAATAAGGCAGATATGGACACCTGTTAAGTTTTTATGAACCTGCCCTTCCATTGGACGGCATTTGGCAGCAGCACTCACTGTATTGTTGATGATGCCTCATGAAGCCACTCTTGAAAGAGAACTTCTGGAGTTGCTCTGGAAAGTGGCAACAACAATAGAATATGTGTGTTTGAAGTAAGGGAGAGCATTTTAAGGAGGATTAAATGCACGGTCTTCACTGCGTTTTAGGTATAAAATTATTTTTTTAAATACATTGAATTTATTTAATCAAAACTTGTATAGGCTCCTTCAGAATTGAGAGATTGAAACCAATGTAGAAAACAACCTCTTGAATTTTTATGGGAGTATGAGTTACATGAACATATATACAGACACAAAGAAAGTTTAAAAGGGGCCTTGATGACAGAACAAAGTATTTCAACTTGACCCAATATAACAAATGAACCACTAAGATAAGTACTGGACTTGGATAGAAATATAATCAAAATAGGATGTTAAAGAGAGCACTAATCATACATGTAGTGCAGTAGGTGGGAAAAGTGAATTTCAGAAGAGATTCTAGGAGACACTGGAATAATGACCTAGTGCTAATAGAATGAAAATGAAGTATTAAGTTGGGAAAATGTTACTAAGCTAAAAATAAATACTAAAAAATAGTTTAGAATATAAACCAAAGGAATTAAACAGAAGAGCAAAGTAAAAGTTCTCTGACTCTGCCTTGGAAACTATCATCATAATGGAACTACAAACAAAAGTCTGGCAGCTGAGAGAGCAGCAGATCTGATGGGCTCAGGCACAAAGCAGGAACGCTGAGTGGAGATAGCCTCCAGCCCACCGCAAGGCAGAGCGGAGCGTCAGGCCTAGATCAAGATCAGTGGCTGCTCTCTTCCTCTGGGACCCATAAAGGAGAATCCCAAAGTCTATTCTCAAAAGTTAAAAATGATCTCTCAAGTCAGGCTGGCAGATGACTTTATTCTGTCCTGCACACAGGATTCCCTCCCACATTGTTGGAAGAAAGAAACAATGGCATCCACCACTAAGACTCTTCTGCAGAGAAATGTGTACAGTTAGTTCTTCTATGTGTAATTCTGAGGGAAAGGAGGTAGGGATGATAAAGTTATACCACAACACCCTTAGCACAAAACATTCCACCTGGTTGGCCTTACGATGCATAATTCCTACTCTCCTCCAGGTGTATGCTCCGTTTAACATGCACATCACGTAAGCACATCATTATCCATGAGCTCAGCCTCACAGCAATAGTCTAGATCAGTGTATAGTGCCTGGGACACAAAACAAATGCAAGAAATTGTCTAAGATATGCCTCCCATGGGAAAATAGATCATTGAGAGTGGCAGAATTTCTTTCTGACTGAGCAAAAGAGGAACATGTCAATGAATGAACACCAAGGTCATAAAGTTACTCCCTTGGATACGCATGTAGAAAAAGCCAAACATCATTTGTTAAGCTACATATTTATTGAAAAGTCTTTTTAAAAAAGCAAAAAAAAAAAAAAAAAAAAAAAAAAAAAACCTTACTGTAGCAGTAATGAATCTAAAACTCACCAATGTCCAGTAACAAGATGGGATGGGGTATACACACTTAGTATGTCATAGGGTTCTAAGTGTACTTCTGAACAACTGTCCTCCTAGCACAATGTGATAGAGGTGAGCTAATCAGTGTGTACCACATTTCTGTGTACCTAATATCCTACTATGCCAAACGTCCTGCTTAAGTATCAGATAGCAAGACCACAACTTCCCACTCCTATTGACGAAGCAGCATGTTACCATCAAGTCTCAACCTGATTTATAGCCTTAACCGGGTCTTCCCTTTGGCATTCACCCCATGTGTGATCATTCCATATGTCATGCATGTGTCCTGTAATTTCCCTTTCTGTAACTTTGTGTATATTATCTCTTCTATCTTGAATTTATTTTCCATTCCTTTCATCTCTGTCCATTAAAATGTTATTCATCTTTAGTTTTGACCCATACTCAAAGTGCTTTTCTTTCTTCCTTGTCTTTTTTTTTTCTTTATTTCTTTAAGTCTTTAATTCACTCATTGCTCTTCTGTCTTAAATGGCTATTCCAGGCCTCTGTGTATTACAGCCAAACCAAATATCTTTCCTGGTTTCCAACACCTTATCACCTCATCACCAACCCTCATCTCCTCTCTTCTCACACTATTCCAGTCATGCTGGGAACTGTGCAGTTTCATAAATATATTCTGGGGACACTACTACCTTCTTGATCCAACCAAATAAAATGCTCGTGGGAAGGGGTAAAGTTAAATCACTTACCAGATCCTAAAAAGCACTGAAGGTATGGATATTTGAGAACACCATGCTTTCTGATTGAGTTTTTCCATTCCTCAGTTATTTTCTCTTTTTCTGGTTGAGATCACCAAAATTATGAATATGATTCCTCTTCACCCCATATCACACCTACCTCAACCTTGCCTCTTTCCCCAAAAGAGTAAACTACTTGAGCAGATTTTGTCTTAATAGGAAATAAAATGTGAATGTGTATGGATATATAGATCCTGGGTATGTAGGCAAAATAGAAACCCTCAGGAACATCACACACTACTACACCCTACTGAGACTAGGCTGACTACCAAAATGAATGTGGGAGTGCCATGTCCAAGGCACAGACACATGAAGCACGTGTTCTGTATCTGACGCCAGTCTGCCATTGCATGTCATTGGACTTCATTCAGAAGACTGCAATTAGTGTTCATTTATATACCATTTTTGTTCTCAAAGTAAAAAGTCGCTGATAAGGGGTATATAATGACTTCATTGTCATCATAATCAGTTGCACTTCAGCCAGTGTTCAAGATATACTGGAATTAAATAAATGTCCAGATGCCATGTTATCTTTATTCTGGTGTTTATTAACCTCTTTCTCCCAAATCATAGCTCTTCAAACTTTGTTCTTATTTCAAATCATGCCTCAAGCACGTGTATGATATTTTTATTGTAGACTCTATAGATAACCTTTTGAAACGCTGAAAGGAGGAAAAGCAACAGAGGGAAAGAACAGAGGTAGGGACAGTCAGAGAAAGCTAGTAATCAAATTGCCTCACCAGATGAAAATAAATATGTTTCTAGTAAGTCACAAATCTTACATGGGATATATTTAAGGTAAAAATATGTTCATGGTTTCTCTAAAATTCAAATTTAACTTTGAAACCCGTACTTTTATTTGTGACATCTGAGAACCCAAGGGAATTTATTTTCCTGCTCTTCTTTTCAAAGCTGCACATCTCACGAGCAAGGACTCATGGTCCATTTGCCTGAGTTGCTAACAGCTGTAGTACAAACAACGCTTTATGAGACACGAATAGAATTAAAAATACCAATGAAAGAGAAAACTACATAGTGGAATAAACTCTTAAATGAAAACAAGATCTATAACTCAAACCTTTGTTGGTGGCTGGTCAGGGATGCAGTTTATCCGTTCCACTTCATTTACCACTGGGCACGCAGTAGGATCAGAGGTGGTACTTGTGGTCAAAGTGTCTGGGATATCAGTTGTCTCAGGAATCTGGGTAAAAGTTGTCTCAGGAACTGGGGTACCAGTTGTCTCAGGATCTGGGGCCATCCCCAAAACAAACATCAAATGTCACAGGCACTCAATAGTCCCATAATTTCAACACTTTGAATAAATGAACTACACTCTTGACTGGGCTTCACTCTAATATCCTCCAGCTTATATATCATCACTTTCTAAAGCCTCATTTTGTCTTGCTGATTGTTTTGGCCTCAGTGTAAACCCTCACAACTCCTTCTCCTCACAAACTAATACTGTTTCCCTACAAGCCAATAGGTACATGAGAAAAAACTCATTAGACTAGAAGTTGATGAAAATGAGAAACAATTTTCCTTTTAGTCTAAGGGCCAGAAACTATGATCTTTAAAACAAATCAGGTCAGACTCTATTTTTAAATGAAGTATTGCTGGAACACATACACACTAATTTGTTTATATTTGCTTTTAAACTATAAGGATGACATTATGCAGTGATGACAGAAACATATGGCCCACTCATATTTACTACCTGCCCTTTTACACTAAAGGCTGCAGATCTCTGCTCTGGTCCTGCACTTCCATCCCAGCCCTTGACAAATACAGAGCATGTGCAGTGAGAGACATCCTAGTCACTGCATTCAATTCTGCTTGCTTGTCAACAGCCAACACACTGGAAAAATCACATTTCAGAGCAATGGCATTCTTCTGTAAATATAACATCTCTAACTACAGAAAAGATATGCAAAGAGAACTCATCACTCTAGAAAATAGAAGCTACAGCCTACCCCAGAGCTAGAGAATTTTGATTTAAGAATAAGTAAAACAAGACAAAACAAAACTAGGATGAGGAAAAGGCCAAAAGAAAGAAAAGAAAAAGACATATTTATGTATATATGCATGATAGTTGAGACTGTGCTGCCAATTTCTGCTGGTCTTTTACAAGGAGGAATGAATACTTTTTTTTTTTTTTTTTTTGTATTTTTTTAGAGAAGGGTCTACAGGTTGTTCAGGGTCTCACTACTACATCGGACTCATAGTGATTCTCCTGTTTTTGGCTTCCCAAGTGCTGGGATTATAGGCGCATTCCACCACACCCAGTCTCAATCACTGTCTCAGTGGGCCCCAGGGGTGGGGCTGGCTCCGCAGGCCCAGGAATCAAACCCCTGGCCCCTGTGACTGCTTGCAGGTGCTTTAATCCACTGAGCTATTTGGCTGGCCCCCACAATTTTTTTCTTTTTATTCTTATTTTTTTCTTTTTAATTTCTTATAATATTTTTGTTGTTTAGTTTTTTTTAACCAATTTTGCAGGTTTATATCGGGTAACCTAAATAACTAATTTGAAGATAATATCATGCAATATAGCAACCATTGTTGAATTCCTGTTAGTTTGTTCAATTAAATTTTGTATTGTTTTTAATGCTATTTTTTTACTATTTTGTATTTCTTAGCATGTGTGTGCGCGCGCGTGCGCGCGCGCGCGCGAGAGAGAGAGAGAGAGAGAGAGAGAGAGAGAGAGAACAAAAGGACACTTTAATTACATTATGCCTTGAGGAAGTAACTTTTCTTTAAGATGTTCTTCAATACTATAATTAATGATGACATTAAGAGAAAACAAAGGCTTTTAAATAGTTCTTTTTACTGGGTGGTGTATTAAACTATTTGTACCAGTTTCTGCATCAGGGCTGTAATTTCATCCTCAGGATCACAATTTTTAAGAACTGAATGACTGTTAAGATTGAAATTCTGTACTGTTTCTAGTGTTTTTAATTATTTTTATTCTCTTTAAAATAAAAAAAAGATTATCTAATCTAACTTCCTACAAAAAGTAGAAATCCCTGCAGCTGGGAATGAGGCAGAAAGGGCAAAGAAAGCTTTTCTATAACCCTGCATTACCTAGTTCCTCTAAGACATTCATCCTAGATGAATCAGATAGGAAATCCTGGATAAGTTAGCACAATCTAGCATAAACTTTTAATACAGTAATTTGGTTGTTCTCCTAAAGAACCAAACTCAGCCCTCAAATGCTTTTAATTAATTATATACTTATTTATCCTCCTTTTACATAAGCATATTGTTCATCATCGTTAACAGAATTAGAATAATTCAACAAAATTCAGCAAACTTATTTCATGTTGATTTTGGAATTTAATCCAGGGCATTAACTAATTCAGAAAATGGGAGCATCAGAATTTATGCCTATAAGGACTACACTTTTAAGCTGCTATAGTTTTAATTAAATGTTTCCCCAATCATACAAAGTCACACACACACACACACACACACACACACACACACACTCCAATGAACATGAAATTGGTTCCAGCACTGATGAGGGTTTTATTCTGACAAGTGTAATATAAGAAGGGAGAGCCCCAGAGTTTCTTGTTACCTTTTGCTTCCGCAGGTCCTGTGGCCAAAAGCCCAATTAGAACAGCAGCAATGATGAACACCAGAAGCAAAAGAACGCTGAGCACGATCTCCAGGGTACTAAATTTTTTCAACTTCTTTCTTGCCATCTATAAAAGGAGAGAACAGTTTTAGATTTGAATTTTATTCAGCACTTGATTATAAAATTTCAAGAATTCAATGGAAAACCACAAACATACAAAATGAAGAGTATGACAAATCTCCATGCACTCATAATCTGAATTTTTTTTTTAAATCAACTCCTGACCAATCTTTTCTTATCTTTGTTCCTTCTTATTTGTATCCCTAGTTCTGGATTTTTTTTGAAGTCTGATGTTTCATATACTTAGTCTAAAAATATTTAAGAATATTTTGAAAAATAATAAATTTTATAAAAGGCAAAATATTACCATATCTGACATATTTTATAATAATTCCCTATTGTCATCAAATATCTTGTCAATTCTGAAATTCATCTCATCTGATAAATTCTGCTGCTTCTACTTTCTTAAGGATGCAAGTATTATTTATACATTGTAACTGGTTTATATCTAAGTTATTTTAATCTATATAATAGATTGTGTGGGTTTTCCCACAATCTGGATTTGTTCATTGTATCCACACGCATGCTAACATGTTTCTCTACTCTTGTAAATTGTTAAATCTAGAGTTTTGATCCCATTTAAGTTTGTTTTAGTAATACTGGTGCACAGATGAGAAATAAAATCAATCTGATTTTTTTATTTAAACAGCTACTAATATTTCCTAGATTGATGTTTCATTGGGAATTACAAATCAGTGATGTTATGATTCTTTCACTGTTCATTGGATGAAATAGTTCCATGGATGTAACTTTTCCTTATCTATTACTGGGCTCACAGAGATGCAGTTCATGAAGGAATGATGGGATAAATGTTTAACTTATTTACAGGGTTTCAAAGTAAGATTTTTTTCTAGTGTCTTCTAAAGAAGGAAAATGTTGTTATTGCTACAAATATGTTTATGAAATCATGAATTAAATGCATGTGGTCTTTCTTAATTTCATGACAATATAAATTCTCATATCCTCTCATCTTTGCCAGGAGGAATCTCTTCAAGTTGGTTCTGAGTCCTGTTGGTATAACCCAATGATGCTTTGACAGTCTGCTTTCTGGCACATCAGAAATTCTAGGCTTGTACACTATCTGCCTTGGGGTACAGTTATAAACTATAATGTGCCCCTGTTCATTTTAGTGGGACTACTATTTAGACACTATGATCTAGATGAGAACTGATAAAATTTAACTGAAAGGATCTTGTGTCTCATCTCAACCAGCGCTTTCCTTTCAAGATTCTCCAATGAGTCACTGAGGATTTGCAATTTAAGAAAGAAAGAAAGAAAGAAAGAAAGAAAGAAAGAAAGAAAGAAAGAAAGAAAGAAAGAAAGAAAATAAATGCTAAAATTGCATACTTAGCTTTCACTGCAGAGGGAATATACAGGGCCTCTCCCATGTTCATATGTTGGGACCTGATACATATGTAATAGCATTAAAAGATTGAGCCTTGGGGAAAGTTGTCATGGGGTGTTCTGGCCTCAGACCACTCTCTTTGCAGGGAGTACTAATGTATAGTTAGCCACTGTCTGTATTGATTTGTTCTGATATGACCTCCTTCTCTGTTAAGTGCTTTATGGCCCCACGTGCCAGGAGGCAAGTTCATTATCTGAGGCCCAGGTATAGAAAAGACCCATGAGCAGCAGCCCATTCATTCAAAGCCTGCCTTCTTCCCTAATTCACTCACCACCCTTTCACAGGCTGCCATGAAAATCACTGTTTACTCAAAAAGAGTCCCCTCAGCCCTAATTCATCACTCTCTATGCATAAAAACTGTCTTTCCTGTGTTCTCACTCCACCAATCAAGGTGTTCTCATCATCTCAGCCCCAAGAAGCCTTCCTCCAATTCCTTGTCCAAGGATTAGATGACAAAAGAATAAATAGATTCCCAAGGACTGATAAAGAACATTGCTTTTCATTGACCAAAATTCATTTTTACTATGCAAAATGAATTGGAGCTGAGGACTGATTTTTTCTATAACAAGAATGAAGTACTCCAAGTCTAGTCTTCCTTACCTACAACTATCTCTATTATTTCAGTCTTATAAGAAATCCCATAATATTAGTCTCATCAATAAAATTCCACAGTGTTTAGCAAGCTTCCATACTTGATAAAATTAAATTGCTAATAAGGCAAAAAGTTGATCTTATGACTGACAAGGAAATGATTTATCAGAATGCCATTCAAGTACTATGTCTCCCTATCCTTGGTTATTGGTAATAGTTGTGAGATGAGTGTTCTTTAAACTAATATTTTAAATTTTTCCAAGTTTTTATTAACACACAATGTAAGACACTATGAAGAAATACCCACACATTGCTGGTAAAATTACAACCACCATATACACCATGGAATTCTGATAACAACTATTATTATTACATACTCATGACTCCAAAATTCTACTTATAGAAATTTATCCCATAAACTTCTTACCCTCCTTGCAGGAGGTTATTACCAGCTCTTCCTAGTGAAAATATTTGTTAGTAATTTTTTAAAAAGAAAAAAAAAAAACAAATTTATCCCATAAATGCACTTACACATTTGAAGATCAATGTATACAGAGATAAAGGTTTTTCATTACATGAACCAGTAAAAATTGGAGACAGTATATGTGGCTATACAGAAAGTACTAAGCAAGTGTATTATTTAAAATCATGATACAGTGACTTTTTTAAAAGTTCATAAATTGTATGATATTGAAACTACTGCTTGGCAATTTTTCATGCATATTGAAATATGTTTTATTTGACAAACATTTTAATGCTAACAATAATTATAATTGCTAATGATTGAGCAAATGTACTGAGGGTTTTCCCCAATATGTCACATGCCATCCTCACAACAACCCCACGAGTTACTCCAAGTACCCCCAATTTGGATGAGGAAATGAAAGTTCACTCAGGTCCTATACCCTACCTTATGTCATCTAGTTGATAATGCATAATGCCACTATTTAAAGACCTGCCCTCTGGACTCTACAGCCGAGGATTTTATTTATTCTTCAAATGTTCTATGCTCAATACCCTACAGTACATGCCAGTTTAGGCTTTCTCTGAGACTGTGGTTGTATCACATTGCACCTAGCTCATTAGTCATGTGATTGGTGTGCACATGGAATTAGGCTGAGTCCTGAAATGCATTATTTTCTAGTCATCATAACCAACTTAAGAATCGAAATTATTACCCGCATTTTACAAATGAATTAACTGAGCCTTATAGGAGGTAGGTTGCTCAAGATTGCTCTAGTAGCAGAGTCAGGCTTCAAAACATGCAAACTAAATCCAAACTCACTGTACTCAAAGTTGATGTCCTATCACCTCCTACTATGTGATGCAAATACGAAAAAAAAAAAATACTATATGCCCATGGATAATAACTTTCTAGCTTAAGGGAGGTAGAATAAGAGGAAGACAACCATTAGGCTAAAAGGCTTCTTGAAACAAAAAGAAAAAGAATTCTGCAACATTTCTGTCCCTATACATCCTGGGGGGACTGAAAGTGTTCTGTAGACACCTTTGACATCGACTCATTTTAAGGTTATGGTTTACAGCATGGTTTTAAATTCTCTATGATGTCAAGGTAGACAAGGTGCTGATGGTTCTCATTTCTCAGTTTTATTTGTCATCAGGTTACTGAAGGATAAAAAGAAAATTGGTTTTCATTTTGTTTGTTCATCAATGGTTTTATTAAGCTTTTACCATGTGCCAAGCATTCTTCCAAGAGCTGGTTATGCAACCATGACAAAAACAGATAAAAATTCCTGTCCCAGTGCAACTTAGGTTGTTATGGATAGAAAGCTGAGTGACTGTAAATAAATACAATAGGTTAATCTACATAAGGACTATTAAGAAAAATGAAGCATAAGAAAAATATGAAGAATGTGGGAGAGTTAGAATTATAAAAGTTTGTTCGGGAAAAATCTCACCCAAAAAGTGAGAATTACTATGCATAAATGACAGAGACTCCATATTTTTGTCTTTGTGAATTGCATGGTTATACAAATAATTATCAAAGCTCAGGGATCCAAATAATTAAAATGGCTATACAAATTAATTTAGAAAATTATATACATGTCTTTTTTCTGAATTATAACCAGCATTTGATTTGCATATGAAGAGCTCAGCTATTACACTGTAGTTAACATAAGCCAAGAAATCTCGTTGAAAAAGGGTTAGTTTTATGAAGACTAAGAATAGCTTGCAAATAAAATCTTAGAAAGCAAAAATTCTTGGTAATATTTCACATCTGGCTCCACTGTCTCCAGGCTAGCTAGGGATGAGAAGGGAAAAAAATTAGTAACAGTTTTTTCTTTGTTTTTGCAAGTCTGGTCTACAAAGTGCAGAGATCTAAGAGTTAGCTCTGACCCTACTGAGCTGTGTGACTTTGGGGGAAAAAACACATTCCCTGAGCCTCAGTTTCCCTTTAAGAATCACAAAAATATATCATCTAGAAGACAGCGCTATATCCTTCTGTGGCCCCAGGCCGAGAATACATAAAATCTATCTTTCTTATCACACTCTATGAATATACTTTGAACCAATTATTTGGGCTGGGCAGGGAGGTTGTTTTTGTGATACTGAGCAATAAACCCAGAGTCCTCACACTGAGCTATATCTCCAGCTTATTTATTTATTTACAAAGTCTTGCTATGTTGGTAAGATGACTAAGCTGGGCTTAAACTTGCTATCCTCCTGCCTCAGCCTCTCAGAGTTCTGGCATTATATGTATGCAGCACTACACCCAGCTTGGACCAATTTTAAATGGAAAATGTCTTCTTCTAGTTCCACTTTTTCACGATTTCATACTCTTGATGAAGCTGTGTGCAAAGTTATTTTTTCAGCTTAATGAAATTCATGAGCAAGCCATTTGTTCATTCTGATAAAAATCACTGGCATCACGTGAAAGTGAGAGTGAGCTCAGATTCAGAATACAAGAGAGACAATCATACTGTCCCTCTTCCTTTGGACCCTTGTAGCACAATAACCTACCCAGCACAGCAAACTGAAGACTCCTCCCT